CCTGAGGAACCAGTTGTACCTGCTGGCATGGTGGGATGTTTTCTGCCCTACTTCCTTTGTGCTGCTCAAGGAGCGGCCACACCCCCAACTAGCTAGAGTTTCTCCCAGCACTGAATAGTGGTGATCCCCTGAGTGCAAAGTTGGCTCCTGTACCTCCTCCCTACAGTCCCCAGGGCAGGAGTGGCCAGAGCACATCCCCAGTTGTAATATAATCCTTTAGGGACTGTTGCCTCCTGCCACAGGTTAGAGCAGCCCCCTTGCTGCTCTCTGCTCTGGCCCTGGCCTTGGCCCAGGCCAAAGTTAGGAATCCATAACCAGCTCCCGGATACTACCTTGTACCTTGGCAGACTGGAGACTGGCCCATTGCCCCGATCCACATACAAGGACCCTCTTTTGCTTCACTGAAACTATGGCAGGAGTCAGGCTGGGAGAATATAGAAAACTACTAATGGCAAGTATGGCTTTTGCTTCCTTTCTGTCCCAGCACCTATTTCCACCTGGAACCAGTGCCTGCCACTTCAGCCATTTCCACAGCAGCTCATGGCCAACAACATACAGAGCAAGGACAAAGTAGAACAGGAGCAAGTGTGCTTTGGGAATCCCAAGAGACATTGCTTAGGAGGGCTCACAGGATAGGAGTGTCCCATCCCAGCTTGCCAGTGCCACCTGAAGAGTGTCTGCCAAGATCACCAAGCAAGCGGGGCACCAAGATGTGGCTACCTCATTAGAGAAGGAGGTAGCCAGTCCCTCAGAGGCCAGCAGAGAGCCCATCAGATACATGGCCAAGGAGAGAGACGACTCTTAGAGGAAGGCCTCAGTCAGGGCTGAAGCAAATCTACAGGGCACTGGGAGGGGAAAAACCTGTGTGGTTACAGAGCAAAGAAGACTTCACTCCCTCCAGAGTTGTCTGCCCTACTGGTGCCAGAGGGGGGCAGTCTGACATCTCCATTACCACCAGAAGCACTAACAAGTACTTGTTAGCAATAGCTCTGGCAGCTGCTGTATCTGTTAGCAAATGAAATTCTTTGCCTGTTGCCCAGTTCTCTGCAAAGGAGTTAATGTTTGCAGCTGGGTTGTCCCTGGATAACCAGAGCAGTGCATTACAGGAGTCAGGGCAAACCTCACCTCAAAGCGGTCAAGAAAATCCTTCAGGTTTTGGAACTGATCCAGGCACTTGGGCTCAAACATGCGATTCTGGTCCAGGATGTCGTACATGACAAAGTCAACAAAAGTGATCTGGAGAGAGAAGAGAGAGAGAAGTGACACAGGCCAGTCAAGTCTGTTCCCATGCCCCTCCCCCAATCACACCCCCACCATGTACCTTCTCCCCAGCAAACCACTTCCTCTTCCCCAGGAACTGAGAGAACAGCTTCAGCTTCCCAGGCAACTGCTCCAAGTAGCCAGGCTTCAGTTTCTCCTGCAGAGAGGAAGAGGGAAAGTTTTCAGAGACAGCTGTGGATTAGACCAAGGCAG